ACAACACAACCAAGGGCACAGTGAGAGCTGGAAATGAGCCCTGTCCCCCTGCAAGCTCCTCCTCTCTCCAGGATGAGGCTGGGCACTGATAAAAAGTGGCTTTCTGACCACGTGGCAGCAGGATTGGGATGTGAAATGCAATTGAGGTACGAATACATCCATATCTTCTTTGTGGGGATGCCTGCCCAAAGAGCAGGCTCAAAAAGAGCCAAAAGACAAAAGCTGCAGCAGGAGAACAGCACAGGAAAATGCAAAATAGCACAAGAAGAAATGTAATGTAGTATGATAAAACATAGTGCCACCAAATGACAGGCACAAAGAAACACGAGAAGAGGATGGGTATGCTACCCCTCCTGTTCCAGATTTTGTTTAGCTTGTACCAGCTTCATGCTGGCCATGCTGGAACAGAGGGTTTCAACACCCATCTCAGGTGTGGAGAGCACAGCCCTGCAAATATGTCTGGGCATTTCAGCATATTTCTTGAGTTTGGACCTGACTTGCTTCTTGCGAAACAGAAAAGTCTGTAAGAGACCACACATAGGACTTGAGTTTGCTGTTAAGTCATTTTTCTACATTTGCCAGTTGTTTGACATGATTCATTAACTACTACCCGTGAATCTTGATTTTTTTCCTCATCTCCAGACACTTATTCTGATTGTTTTGGCCTTTCAGCCGCCCTGGGTGAAACCACATCCCAGAACCTGCTCTGTGAATAATTCAGGATTACAGAACACAGAACCCAGGTGGCAGAGCAGCAATCAATCTCTGGCAGCATAGGTGGCTGCTGAGAGGAAAGCTTCTCTGAGCACAGCTAATATGTCAAGCTCTCTGCGCTTTGCTCCCCTTCTGATATTACTGCACTGCCTCAGCCAAGCACAGAAACAGCAAAGGGAAGGAATCAGTGGGGAAATTTCTCCCATTAAGCCACGCAGGACACACAGCTGCTCAGCAAACCCTGCTGGCCAAACTCCTGCTAAATTCCGCTCTCTGGCAGGGACAGGACACAAATGCAGAGGTGCAGCGTTGCCCTGCAGAGCAGCCTCCAGGGCTGCAGCAGACAGGGAGCCCACAGAGGTGAGGAGGGTCCCTGCTGCGGCAGGCAGGGCACTCACGCTGTGGCTCCGTCCCTCGTGCTGGCAGGATCCCTCGGCTCGGGACGCGCACTGCGGGCAGCACTGCTTGGAGGCTATTTGCAGCACTTCTCCCTGCAAAGAGACAGCATTCCAATGAGCAGCTGGCATCAAACGGGCACTCTGAAAGGAAAGGGAAGCCGTGAGGCCTGGCTGGACCTGGTGCTCTCAGCTCAGAAACGAGAGGTTTCAGGTGAAATACAGAATGTTGCCTTTCTGAGAGGTGGCACAGCACTTTGTGTGTTTGGCATTGTGCCCTCAAAACAACAGCAGAATTTACACCCCCAGGAGTACAGCTGGGAATTCTGCAGCTGGACCAGTTTTCAAAGAATGAAAAACAAAACTCAAGGTTCTTCACTAAAAGGCTGCTGAGAAACATGGGACAGATGTTGCTGAAACAAGATCAGCCATATTTGCATAAATCTCATAATGAGTAGATAAGAAATAAACCATAGAGAAAGACAATTTCTTGACCTTGCTTTTCTGTTGGTGGTTTAGCCTTGAAGCATGAAAGGATTTTTTTTTTTTTTTATGAGATCCTTGGTGATCCTTTTCAATGTTTAAATGACCAGATGTTTTTGGAACACTTAAACATTTTATCTTGGAGATTGCCCATGTCAGGGAGTCACACAGCTTCGCTTGACACTATAAACCTATTTCCCTTTATGAGCTTTAAAGTAGCTACCTTTTCATTTATCTGATTTTTATCATTTTATCTAGTGCACTCATTATTACATGTGCCATGACAGCACTTGATCTCCCTCCTCTTCAGAACAAAAATTCCTACTTGTTCAGTCTAGCTTTAATCAATACACAGCAACAATAATGGGGAAAACTAGTAAGAATCAAAATTATTTCCTCATTAGTGCTGTCATATTGGGAAACATTTTAACCTGCTTCACAAAGCCATATAATTATCCTGACAGCCTCTTTAAAACACTCTTTTTCACTGCTATTTGTGCACTCTACCCCAGCAATCCAGATGTTAACGCAAGGCCAATCCCATGGCCAATTAATGAAGACCCAGACAAAGACAAGCAGGAGACAAGGAAAGCTCAGCAACCATCACGAGGAAGAAGCAACTGGAGGGCAGACAATCTCAGCTCTGTTGTTGCTCAGCAGAGTGGAAAGTGCCCATCTGCACCTTCCAGGGAGCCCCAGCCCCACCTCCAAAGGAAGGGGGGCTCATGCTGGGAGGCTGGAGCCCAGTCCAGGGGCTCCCTTTGGGATCCAGCTGCTCCAACACCCGGCCCTGCTGCAGCCAAGGGGACAAAGGCTTCCCACACCAGGCGTTGTCACTCCAAGGAGGAGTGCAGGCACTCAGAGCCCTGGCTCTGGGCAGCACAGGCACTGAGCCCTTACCTTCTGGAAGTCGCACTGAGGGGCTCTGCAGACTGTAGGCTGGCAGGTGACAACGCCGCCCCGGCAGCGGCACTCCTGGCAGGAATCCGGCTTCCACGAGGTGTTGTTCTGCAAAGGGAGTTGGAAACCAGGCCCATGCAGCACCGGGCACGTCCTGTCCTGACAGCTATCTCAAATAGCTCCACAGAGACGGAGTGCAACGGAGCCCCTCCCTCCCACACGCTTCTCGGGCCCTGTGTTGGCACGTGTCACTCAGCAGCTTCCAAAACGCAGCTGAAAGATGAGGCCGTGCAGGGCCAATCATCGGCTCAACAGCAACACAATCCAACCTCCAAGGGCCCCAGGTGAGTACAACATCTCTGGAAAACTTCCCTGTGAGCAGGCTCGCACTGCCCACGCTGCAGGGTGATTGATCCCAGCTGGTGCTGAGGCAGCAGAGGTGGCTTTGCTCTACCTGGGCACTTGCATTCCCAAACGCCACGGAGGAGACTGGCCATGCAGAGAGCCTGAAACATCTGGGAACAGCTGTCACCAGCACTCCATCAGCGCGCCCAGCTGGAACACCCACAGCTAATTCCCAAGGGTTTGCACCGGCCGTGCCTGACCCCCTTCCACTCCCGCCCCGCCGAGGTCACGATCCCACGCTGCCTGCGCAGGAAAAGGGCAAGGGGAGGATCAGTTCTCAGCCGAAACACTGCCTGCAGCTAGACAATCCCTGTCCCTGTGGTATAGACAAACACTGGGCTAAACTGGCACCACACAGGATGTTCTCCTGGGCAGCATGGACAGCCCCTAGCCCAGTCATCCAGCCTCTTTCCTAAGGAGACCAGACCTTGCTGTTCATTTACACCGTGTAGTGATTTACCTCAATATACTCACAGTGCTAGGCAGGACTTAGGAAGGATGATTAACAGTTGACTGCCACGAGCACATTTACAGCTAACTACTAAAACTGTTAAGCATAATGATAAAACACTGAAATGTGCCTTAAAGGCCCATTAGGACGCCTAATGAGAGAAAAAATATCCTGAAAAAGCAGACCACTTGCTCAGGCACTTCAAGAACATCAATCTGCAAATAGTGGGATGGCCAAAAATATTACCAAAAAAAAACCTCCTTGGGTCTCTGCCCTGCTTTCCAAAAGCATTTCTCCCACACCAGTGGCAGTGCTGACCTTAGAAGGTGCACAGCCCCTGGGCAAGGCAAAGAGGGATGGTAATTCCTGCCCAGGAACACAGCTGGCTCTCCCCTGGCGCACACAGGGCTGCAGAACAGAAAGCCTGAGCAGATTGATGGTGCACTTAGGGAAGAAATGAAGGTTAAGCGATGTGTGTGCCAAGCTGTAGCTAACACGCACCCTGGAGTTAACTCATCCTGCTGGCTGCAGCAGAGCTCTGTGCTGGAAAGCTGGCAGGGAAGGCAGCCACAGGGTCACCAGGAGTGGGCAGGGAGGGCACACACTCAGTGCCCCATCCTCTGGTTCTCCCAAACCTTCACCTCTGATCTCTCATGCTTAGTAAAACCTTTAAAAAAGGAAAATAATTTTCTCCATGGAATAATAACCAAAGGAACCTCAATGTCAGCACAGAGCCACCCTTATTCACATTTTTAGACTTAAAATGCTCAGGTTTGAGGTAAGAAAACCCCTCTTTGCTCTTCCTCCTCCCCTGGTTTCTATCACAGCCCAAGCAGGCTGGCTCCTGTCTGTGGGCTCAAATCAGCTGCTTCTAAATTCCTTTTGCCAGGCAGAGGATCAAAACCAACACTTCCCTGCAGAGTTTTAAAAAATTCATTATCTAGTTAATAGTCAGGAAAGTACCACCTGATCTGTTGGGATATGAGAGTCTCCCAAGCACTTCACGGGTCCACTCAGTGTCCAGCTCTTTGGACAATTCAACATTTAGCTTAGGATTCCTGGCAGCAGACCTAAAGTGTCCAGTTTGGAAAGTCTGGCTGCCACCTGTCCTGTTGTGAGCTGAGTTTGTTGGTGCTCACCCAGCAGGCACAAGGACACCTCAAAGCTCCCAGGCAATGCAGTTCCAAACATAGAGCAAGACTTTGCAGTAGACACCCAGAGAACTGCTGGAAACCTGCCTGGCATCTTCTCCAAGGCTCTGCTCCTCACTGGACAAATTATCTGCTGCAATCTAAGTGCTGGATTCCAATCCTGTTGAGAGTGTATTTCTATCAATGACAATTTCAGGGGCTTTTTCCTTACCAGTACTAATATAATTAACAGTATAAATAATGAAATACCATGCAGAGAGCGCTTTGAAGATGGAAAGGATTCCTTAAACACCAAGCAGCGCCATTATAATTTATTAATTCCCTGGATTTCCCTACATCAAAAGAAGAAATGATACCTAATTCGACTGAATTTTAAAACACCACGCTGCAAGAAGAGATACATCTACATTACTTGGGCCAGCCTGCAGAACAGGGGCCAAAAAACCAGGAAATGCTCCCAAACCTTTTGAGCCTGCAGACAGCCAGACCAAGACAAAATGAGATAAAACTGGAGACACAGGAGCACGGTGTGATGGGTTTGGAGAATACTGATGAGGATTCAGAAAAAGATAAAAGAAGGAGGCAAGAACACAACAAGCAGTAAAAGCAAAGAAAAAGCTGCAAAGAGCAGACATGGAGCCAAGAGAGCCCAGAGCAGCTGTGAGTGCTCCTGGTTTGCTGCTGTCACCCTGTCACATGAACCAGAGCACAGAAAGACCTCAATCTCTTGGAGCAGTGCTTTTTCAACTGGCTGTCGGAACTTCAGACAGCTGCACCTGCCCCTCCTCGACCTCAACATTTCCACTCCAATTACCTGACAATGCCAGAAAATCGGCAGGAGAAGCGCCAAGGAGAGGGAAGCACAGAGAGCACGGCATGGTCTGTGGGGATACCCATTAGTGGCGCAATGAGGAGATGAAAGCAATTCAGAGCCACAAAAGGATTCCCAGCGTCCACGGGGTTCGGATTTGATGTTTTATCTCTGGAAACGGGGAGCTGTTGCTCTGCTGAGTGTGTTTTTAGATGTGGGGTTTGCTGGCAGATAACAGAAGCCCCTTGACAAGGGGGTTTCAATGGGCTCGTTCCAGCATGCCCACAGCCAGAGAGCAACACGGGGACACAGGAAATCGGGAATCACATGGAAATTCAGCTCAGCTTCAGTCCCGTGTCCTAGGAGAGCGCAGAGCAGCTAAGGCAAAGCACAGGGCTTGATTAACAGCACAGCAACACGAACACGCTGTTCCAGGAATGGGAACCAGCTCTCCCCTTCTTCCAGTCAGGGAATTAAGAAGTTACATAAAGTAAAACAAGGTACTGTTTTCACAGTTCAACAGTCTGCCACGTTTTCCAGCTGTGATAATCTTTCACCAGTTGTACCAGCCTCGTAAAAATCAAGAGTCTAAAAATAACATTTCCCAGCAGTCCTGAGATATTTGAGGGATAAGATATTCCAAAATATTCTTCAAATACTTAGGTACTGTTGTAATCTTCATCCTATCTTTCACACAGCCACCAGGAAAGGGCCCCAAATGAAGCAAATGCACTATGTAAAACTATGGTTTCAAATTATTGGTTCTAACCAGGACTTTAATCAGCACACAGAGGTCTTTGTTCAATATTTTGGGAGCTGCAGCGTTCCTTTAGAAAGGTTAATGCCTTTTGGTTTGTCACAGATGTGTCAAATGGTGAAGTGAGACTGCCAGGGGGATGTGAGATTTCAGTTTGGAGTGCAGGTTATGGGGGGCCAAATGCTGCCCTGTTAACTGCATCATCTCAGACAGGGCAGAGTGAACAAGACAGACTAAGCCTTTTATCCCTTTTCTAACAATAATAATAAAAATTAAAAAAAAAATCCCATCAGGCCATGAAAAACCCTTGCAGCTGATTCAGCAGAGGAAGGAAATTTCCTTCAGTACCAGTGATAGCCCTCAGAAGCTCTGCACCAGGTGAAAGGTAACTCTAATTCCACTTCTTGAAGGCAACAATCCACTCCTGAGCAATTCTGCAAGCCATGTCAGCAAATGTAGAGCTATCTCCAGTTCCAGGCTGGATATTTAGGAAGTGTCCTTCCCAAGCAAGGAATTACACACCTCAAACCCTGCTGTTGTCACTGTGGGTCCAAGCACAGTAATGTCCCTTCCAGCCCCCAGAAAACACAGCCCTTTATGTCCTTATCTTCCATCTCAGCTCCCTGGGCAGCAGATTAATGAAGTGGTTCTCCCTTCCTTCCAAAGGGAAAGAGGATCCCTGCACAGCCATTAATCTTGGAGAGCAAAGGACAGTCATTAATCCTAAAGAGCAAACACGATGAAGAAAAGCCTGTAGAATAAGGAAATGTGCAGAGTGTCCTCACGTCCTCCAGAACTGTTTCCAGTATGGCTCTGGTTCACTGGGAGCTGTTGAGATTCAAGGAGGTGACAGTCTCATGTCCAAAACCAAATGGAAATAATGGCAGCAGAAAGTGGGTGACACCTCAGTGCTTGACTCAAACACAGGCTCCTTGCTGCCTTCTCTTACAAATGAGTCAATTAATTGACTCTGGCACAGGGAAACTACAGGCCCAAAAAACAAAATCAGGTTTAAAATATCCTGAAGAGGGCAAAGATGATAGATGTGTTTGTGTGCTTCAGTGCTGTGAAGTGGAATCAAGTTCATTGGGATCAAGAGGGCCAGCATGAGGGGAAGGAGGGGAGAAGTTAAGCAGCACAGTCCTTGGCATTCACTGGGTCACACGTGCTTTAAAAATTATCATTATTTTTTTCCAGTGACAACAAAATCCCACCAAACAACTCAGGAGAACTACAGCTAATTGCCCCTCTCTCTATGAAATGAAAGTGCCAGGGTTACAAAAGCTTATCCTGTCCAAGAGTGGTGAGCAGACTGAGGGAGAAGAGGCAAAACTTGTGGAACAACACCAACAGGGAAGCAGCCATGGCCAGAAGGTGCAGGGGAGGAAAAAGTAACTCCAGGGCTGGAAAGGCTGCTCAGATGGATCACAAACCATGGCTTTCCAGAGAAGAAGGCATAAAGAGCAGCTCTGTGAGGCACTGAAACTCCCTCTCTGAGGCAGATAAAAGATGGACAGAGAAACAGGGCATGGG